CGGGACCCAGGGAAGCTTTCTGAGGTGATGATGGAAAAATAAACGATTCCAGGTGGAAGAGTATGTCCCAAGGCTCCAGGGAGGACGGAACAGGGCTGGTTTGAGGAACTGAAAGTTAATGTAGTTGACACAGAGGGCCAGGGAAGAGTTCTGTGAGACTGGGCTAGGGAGGTAGAGGAAAGCCAGACAATGAAGAGCCTGCAAGGTCATGTTTCATGATTTCCACAGCAAGATTCAACAATAGCCCCTTTATTTCACCCTCAGATACTTTGTTTGTGTTACTATAAAGCAAAGGTGCCGATATGCTTTTTAAAAAAATCTCTCCATTACTTATTTTAGCCTCTTCTCCCCCTCCACTTCCAGTGGAATATATCTTTATCTCTATGTGCATATGTATGTGTTTATATACATACTTACCTACGTCTGTACCTATCTGTCCATTGATCCTATTGATAAACAGTATCTACCACACCACTATGGATAGATGACAGATAGATGATAGATAACAGAGCAAGACAGAGATAGCTTGAAATCGAGGACCATATTGTACTCATCTCTAATTTGCCTTACAAGGCCAAACTAACAACAAGTACCATGTCCGTACTGTGAATTTCAACACATATGTGTTGAATGCAATCGAACTAAGATATAGGAATTCACCTGTGGAGCAGAAAGGGTGGAGGAAATCGAGTGATAGGGAATTGAAAGATGATTTCTGAGATTAGCTAAATACTCAAGCTGGTTGTGGAGATGGAACCTAACCAGAAAATTTTAAGACTGCTTTGGTTAGCTGCATAGGGGAAGTGGTGAATTAAATCTGTTTTGGCCCTTTATTCAGGGTATGTATTACTGCATTATCTACTACTATACAAACTTCCTTAACTTTGTGGATTAAAACAACTTTGTAGATAAAAACAATTTAATACTTTGAACTGTGTCACTTAATTCCTAAATGGAAATAGTGTTGGAGACCTAAAGTTACTATAGCTCTGTTTATTATATAAGGATAAACCAAAAAACATGGAATCTTCTGAATTTTCATCTAGATCAAGGGAAAAGCTTCTCCCATTGGATTAAATTTTAAAAAGACAGGAGGCAAAAATAAAATTCTGTTCTAATTATACTGCTGATCTTTCCTGTCACACATCGATTTTGCTCCTTCACCTTGGAGGGGTTATAGACATGATAACCTCGTCAGGAATGCAGTGAGAGGTTCCATGCAATAACCTGGACTGACATACCCTGCAAACCAGTAGAGCAAAGTAACCGTACTAACCGGTAAGTCCAGCGCTCAGCGCTCAGGCCATTTCTGCTCCACACTTTTAATGGGAAGAGAGGCTCTGCCGA